AAAGTATATGAATCTAATTTATTTCCATTTCAAATCGAATATAGAATAGAAATATATGTAATATGTATGTATTTCGCGTACAGTTTTTTGGTAAAACTGATCTTAATTAACTGATATTGATGAAATATACTCTAAAATATAATAATATAACATAACCAAACTTCAAATAAACCGCCAACGTTGAATATGTTTCTATACAAAATTATTACGTACAATATTTTTGTCATTGTACTTTTTGTGAACACTGGTGGCACTTTAGCTCAAATTACCGTACTCTCCATAAGAGCCAATGTAAAATAATTATCGGTGTCCATTCTGAATATTCTGATTTCACCTATTCTGTGGTACGAACACCATTCGTACGTGTGTGGACTTGTCTTGTTCGCTCGGGTAGCGGTGCATCAAAAGAATTTTGATTTTACTGCATGGCTTTTAACATAATATGGTAAATACGACCAAACGACGTACGAACGGATTCGTACGGCCGTGCGTTTCTGTGGGGACGCACCTTAAAATATAATATTTATATTATTTTTATATTATAATCTGTGATAATATTTTGGTAACTTTTCAGAACACGAATTATGCAGCCGGTCTATGGTTATAACCATGAATGAACAAATGGTATGGTATAATCACCAGTGATACATTTGATTATAATATCTTAGTCCGTGTTTACAACCTGTTGAACGGTCTTTGACTGGAAATTTTAAATTTGAATAACATGTGTAAATACTTATATGTAACACTATAACAATTCACAGGATTTTATCTTGTTGCTATCTAAACATACGTACCCTACTTGTATCTACAAAAATGTCAGGTAAAACTAATATGTGTCTAAATATATTATTATTACAATATGTTATGTAAGATAGATTCTAAATTCAAATAATATTGAATCAATTAGGCACTGAAATATTTTTATAAGTTATAAATTAAATTCAAGTATTTTGCAGGAGTTAATAATTATGGCCCTTATCGACCCAGACAGATCACATCAAACAATAATCTGAAAATCCCTAAGCATTGGATGAATTGCCCTAATATAGCTATTACGTCAGTGGCCAATTCATTTGTGGCGTTTAAAACACCACTAGATGACAATTATAACAATAAAATAGCAATCATGAAGAGATTTAATCCACAAATGGTATTTAGACATATGTGGTCATTTCAGGTATTTAATAATATAAAATATTATTGTTCTAAAATCGTATTAAACAACAGCTTATTAATTTCTAATAGAAATAAGATGCTTAAATTTTAAAAATATAATGTCAATTAATTATTCTAGCTTTTACTAGGTTTGTTAATAATAAATAGATAGTACAATATACATTACTTTTGGGTTCCAAAAAATAAAAATAAATTTAACCAATTTAATCAAGTATCCTACTGTTATTAATCATAATATAATATAATGTTATGCGGTTATGCCACTTTTGTAAATGTATAAAATTGTTTCAGCAAAATATTGGGTTATGGATTGATCTCACAAATACTACACGCTACTACAACAAACTGGAAGTGGAAGGTATGGGATGTGCTTATAAAAAAATGCCTTGTGTTGGTCATGGGGATTTTCCTGACCGAAAAACAGTTGAATTTTTTTTCAATATTTGTTATAATTTTCTAGAAAACAATTTTACTCAGTTTATAGGTAGGTTATAATTAATTAACTACATTCATGTAAGAATAAATAACTATATAGTCTGCAACTAAACAATATATTTTTTTTACTAGGTGTTCATTGCACTCATGGTTTTAACCGAACAGGATTTTTGATAATTTCTTATTTAGTAGAAGTTTTAAATTATGATGTAGCAAGCGCAATCCATCATTTTGCAGTAGCTAGGTAGTATAAAAACTATACAACTTACAATTGCATGGTTAGAAATTCATTCTAAGAGATATACATTTTTAAATATCATATAATATATAAGACTTTATTTAAAAACAAATTTTGAAAAAGAAAAAAAATCAGTGTTGGGACTAAACTATAGAAAATAATGTAATTACAGCACAATAATTCTCGATCAATTATAAATTATCATAAATAAGAACATTTTCATGTTGTACGGCTTTTAAATGTGTTGCTTGGATTGAGATCCGTTGGAGCATTAAATTAAAACTGATTTTTTTTCTAAATCGAGCATTGTAACAATCACTAAAACGAATGCTTAGTGTATTTAAACCACAGATATAATAGTTGATTATAAATTTATAACTATGATTTTAACTATTATTACTGAGGGTTATTATTCAATTTTAGAGATACTAAAAAAAAAAAATCTGTTGTGTATAATTTTACAGCATCCATTCAAAAATAGTGCCATATAGGAAATTTAAAAAGTTACCAAACAGAATATAATATCTATACATAGAAATATAAAATAACATCAACCCATCAAATCTCTAATAATCATGTCACTGATTATTTACATTATTATGTATGAACTTATTTAAATTTATGTGTATATGTATTTTAATATTTTAGACCTCCTGGTATCTACAGACAAAATTATATAAATGAGCTTTATAGACGGTATTCAAATGAAGCACCTACCATAGCCCCAATACCTCACTGGATTCATTAGTTTTTAAATTCTAAGCTATTGCCTTAATATTTTTATATAATTTAATCGCCTACAATGCTCATGTGATGTATCTGTTTTTACAATTTGACACATTTTTCAATAATTGTATCCATTAATAATAATAATAAATCTCTTTATAAGAAATAATGTAAAGCCAATTTAAAAAAAAATTGGGTAAGTGGGCAAAACTTTTCTGTACGTTAGGTGTCTAGAGATGGATGTATTAAATTTGAATTCAGTAATATGATATTATAGTATTCTTAAGTTGATTCTGAACGAAGACAGTAATCTTTCATCTTATAATATTACTAAGTATAATATTTTTTATTATTGTAATTAAAGTACTTTATTTTACTATTACACATTAGTACTAAGATAAGTTAAATTTGTCGAAAAAATTGCGTTTGAAAATGTCATTGAATAAAAATTATAATATAGATAGATATTAGGTAATAACTTAATAACCTAATAAGTAAGTAAATAATTAGAGTAGTTTATATACCTACCCTAGAAGTTTCAATTACCCATAAATAATATTTTTAAATTATATCAAAATAACGGAAATCATTATTTTTTGTCTAAATTTTAATTTACAATGTCTGTTATAAAAGAACTGTATTTTATATTTATTAGATTTTTGGGTTAAAGTATGAACTATTTATGAGAATCCTTAGGTATAGAAGTTGAGTATTTTATAAATTTTTTAACTACAAAATAATTTGAAAATGTCTATTAACAGTTTAAAATTTGTAAAAATATGTTTAAAAACTGAAGAGAAATCT